TTGCGGAAATTCTTCCCCGGAATTGGTCAGTCGAGGTTGTGGTCAACACGTGACCGCGCAATGTGGTTTTCGGTTATTGAAGAATCAGCGGCACTATGTCTAATCGTGGTGAGAGCTAATCATACTACCGATGTGCCGGTCGGGACTCAACACGGTCAAATGCTGAATGTACTATTTGGACGGTCACGTGTTTGGTTTGACCCTACTAGGATGCTGCGAAAATGCGCACCACTGATGTGTGCCAGTAAGAATGAAATCGTTTTCCGGTGCTTCTCAGCTGTTGGACATAAAATGCCTCTGTTTACATGAAGACATTTCCACACGAAAAGTTTCAAAGATGTTTTACGCTATCAAAACCTGAAGCTGAATCTTTCCTTAGTATTCTTGTGGAATGCGCAAACAGTTTCAACACACCATTTCAGGGGAGTCCGGATAGGACTGGAATCCAATCAGAAGTTTTGGGGCTTTTCTGGGTAATTTAATCCTTTACTGAGGAGAAACACTCATCAACAAATTTACTGATCAACCATTTTATAGCCAAATTCCATCGGATACCTTGAACGGAGGAACTTGGATTATGTTAAATAATAGACCGATTGCGACAAGATAACCTGAAAATGATCAAGCGAACGGGATTTCGGCGAATACTGAGTCGACAATGGTCGACTTCGGTTACTCGCATAACGCACAGATCAGGTCGTTTCGAATACTTACCTGCGATCGGAACTTCGGTTTCACACGTGTGACTGTGTTGTCTGAAATCTGCCAAAAACCCCTACATGCGATAAGGTGAATGACCGTGAACCGGTATCGCAACTGATATTTGCATTGCGTTGCACTAACCTGTGGAACCGCAATGCATTGCGCTTGGAACTGACTAGAAACCACCTCATAACAAGCGACTTACTGCGACTCTGGCAATCTGTATGTTCTTGCTAAATGCTGGGTTGTTGCACCCAGGATGAAATTGTTGAAAGTCACTACCAATTCCCCCATCCATCCTCGAGGCTTCCTCTAGTGAGTGACTGAAAAAAGCGGTTGAGCTCCTTCCGAATTTAAGGCTTTCCAAAAATCCATAAACCAAGCGTTTCAGTGCAACAGATAGTAAACATATTAGGTTCTTAACCGCGTGAGCTACTTGGCTGTTGTTTTAAGGCCCCTCCCTGGATAATCTGGTGCTTACATTAGGAATTCGCAGGACTCTGCCAACCAAGTAGCGGGTGTCTCCATTGAATTAAATGATATTTTTGTTAGATCTGATGTGAATGCATTATGTTCAAATGTTGCAAGAGCGGACACCTCAGCAAAAAAAGTAACAGTTTTTGGCAGACACCATCCTTTCAGAGTGGACAAAGCTTACGGTAGATGAAATAGTGAATGGTATAAAAGCATGTCTGAATCTCACCTACTTCGTTTTTGGCTCGGTGGGTTATACTCAAGAACAAGGTTTAGGAGTGAACTGTCCAATACTACCGGTTCGGGCAACTATATTTACGGGAAAAATTGAACACAGAAATTAATCCGGATTATCATACCCACCGAAGATATTCTAGCCGTATGTAGATGACACTTTCGTGATGATGGAATGAGAGAAGTTTAGTGAGCTGTAAACCTGTCTGAATGAACTGCGTCCACGGATCCAATTTAGAATGGAGTAGTTAAGTTGGGTTTTTTTGGCCTTTTTAGAATGCATGACACACAGCTCGGGGGAAAGCACGACCACATTGTATGAGAAGCCACCCGACATTGGGGCAGATTTAAGCTACTCGTCTGATCATCCTAAATGGGTGTAAGCTAGCCTTTCCTCATTAAGGTTTAAGCGTGTAAGGGCCCTGTGCACGGAAGAGGTTGATCGGACAGCGATCAAAACTGAAGTAAAGAACAAAATTTTGGACACCAACCTCATGTTTGAGTAAATTAAGTTCAAGGTACACAGTGCAAGGACAACCGAGTAGTAAGTTTCAGAAATTGCGTTCTTCGACTCGCTGGTCAGTTAACACCACAGGGGAGAGTAGGTCATCTACTAACTGTTTCAGCGCAGTCAATTTATCGGATGGACTCTCAGGTGAAGAGGAATATCGCCTGGATTGGTCGCTGCTTGTTGGGCCTTGAGATTACCAACAGTAAGTGACTTTGTTGCTGCTGACTTAAACCCGTCGTGTATCCCCTACACCGAAGCTGCTTTTCTACCTCAAGTTGTGCTGCTCTTCGGTCGACCTCCAAAGTAAACTGTGCTCTCATTCTCTTCACCTAAACTAGC